AATAGAGATAATGATAAAAGACAAATTATGGCAGATGGCTACAATACGTCACCGTGGGGACACTATAAAACTATATTTTAATAAATTTGAATGTAAAACTATGTAATGCTACTACTATGTACTGTATAAGTAAGTAAGAGATAAATGTATAGCTTAAGTTACATGTATTATCATGTTTATAACTTTATATTAATTTAAAATAAATAAATATTTAGTTTTAATAAATACATTCGTTGTAACAATAAATGTCTTTTTCTTTTTTCCTCTACACAATTGAATAATAATGATACATAATAAAACAACAATAAAATTCAATGTACTTTTATTATATTTTACAAGCTACATTAATTAAATTACTAGTTGTCACATAATTTTTCACCTATTTTTTTTATAAGACAATTTGTAGCATCTAACACTTCATCATACATTGAATCCACAACATATTGAACACTTATATTAGCAATAAGATCGGGGATGACATTTTCTTCTTGTTCGTTAAGTTCTCAAATGCTGATTTTAATCAGACGATGACCTTGTTTATCTTTATCTCGGCGGATAATGTATGATGATAATGATGATGATTCTTGAGAACGATTTCTCTTTCTGTAACATTTCTTTGATTTCGATTGCCGCTCTTCATTAATAGCTATTCTATTTGGTGGTAAATCGTGAAGCTGCTCCTTTCGGTTGTAATAATTTAGTGTAAATTTATCCACATCCTGTGCATAGTAATTAGAATCATTGTGTTTCTCAGTGTTGCCCATGATCTGCAATTAACAAAAACAAGTATGAAGTCAAAAAAAAGGTAATGGCGGCTGAATTTCTAAATAGTAAAAAAATAATTAAACTCACCAATATAGATGATATTTGACGAGCGTTGTAATCAACGTGCACTCGCTATGAGAATAAAACAATTGAGGGAGGATGGGAGGCGCTTTTCAATCCAGGTAAGACACATCATTGTATTTAGTAAGCGGATGATTGCAAATTAATTAATATCTTTATTGTTATGGATTTACGATGTTAGGTTTTCAGGTCTTAGGTTTATTTTTTTCGTTACGAAATTTCTTGATTCGGTCGCCGCGCTCAAAGCCCTGGATAAAAGCTATGCAATAGCTTAAAAACGTTTATTAGCAACCACCACAATGAAATTAGGCTAAACAAGTTGTATTATTAGAAATTAATCATATAGATGCGGCAATACCATCAGTATCTCGCAAACGCTCTGAATATAATGCTCAATAACTCAACTGGAAGTTGAAGTACACTTGTTTCCGCAGGATAGAACTGTGAGAATGTAGACGTTAATTTGGTTAAACTAAAAATGTTGTGCCTCTCTGGAGAGAATTGGGGTCTTCAGCGGCATGGCTCGAGTGAATGCGAGAGCAAGTGACGCAGAAGCCCCAATTCACACCTACTGGTGCGAGTGTTATATGTTACCAGGTCGAGTCGTCTTAGGTGGCAACCGAACCTCCACCGGAGAATCTTAGCTCCCCCTGCCCCGCCGTTACCATGGTCGCCACCGAAGCCAGGAATAATGGAACCACCGAGGACTGGGGGCCGTCTCTTTATCACGCTTGGCGAGCGGTTTGGCAACCGCAGGTTTTTTATTGATGTTTTGCTGTTATCAGAAAAATACTCCAGTCCATCTTCTGCCTCAGTTTACCTCTGTCGCCTTTTACGACACCCACGGGAGGATATGGGGTTGTGGGTCTTTCTTACCCGCCACTACACGGGGAAAATTTTCAATGTTTTTTCAATTATTACCCATCATAAAATTACAGCAAAAATTAGTTATTATTGATAATCAACAAAATCTCAGTAAGTAGTGGCAAAAACTAAAAAAAAATGCATCAGTAATATTTAATAAAATACATTTTTTTTATTGTATACAATTACTTAAATTAACTTTTTGTTTTGAAAACATAATGTTATTAAAAAAGAAACATGTTGACGTACACAACAGTATACTTATTTATAACAAAAATACGTAAATTTAATAGATTTGGCTTTGTACATGACAAAAAAGTTATTACTCAGCATGACTTGTGGCGAAACCGCTACGCAAATTTTTAGTAATGACCAAAAAAGCCTTGGAGAATACAGCTCCGAGAGTAAATAAAGTAGTTTTTTTTGGCGATGAATGAAAACAAAATCAAACATTATTTACTGGGAGCTGTATCCACCGAGCCAGGAAAACCGTGGCCGTTAGGTACGTTCATACTTTCCTCCTAATAAATACTAATAGTAAGTATATAGTGTTAAGTATAAAAACAAAAATAAGAGCACAAAGAGATACAAAAAAAAAATTAGAAACTAAAATTGATTATGAAAATAAACAATAAATGTTGGAATTATGCAGTAATAAGTATTATTAAATATTTTTAAATTTATTTATTTTCCGACTCTTTGGAACTATATAAGTTATTATATACAAATATTAGTCATTATCCACGTTTTCAGAAAACCCATTCATTGGACTACACATCTTGCTATATTATTACCTCGTGGACATATCCACTACTTTAATAAGAGGTGGTGTGATGGATTAGGCCACCGTGAAAACTCACACGAAGATCCCAAGTAGTTTTTCAAATATAACAGATTTTGTCTAATAAGCAAGTATACTGCTATTTATGCGTGGAATTTATTACATTTGCATTTCATGGGTTTTTGGGCCGAAGTTCCTTATCGCACGGTACGAATATGGCGGATAGGGGCTAGGCGAGAAAAAGTGTAAGATTTTTTCCGTCACGACCTTTTCTATAGTTCGAGCGAGATGGAATAATATCTATCTCCCTCTCACTTTTTCTTATCTTGCCATGAAAGAAATATTATTTTAAATAACGCTTCATTTTAATAAACGCTAGTAATTCATTTATTTGTATTTGTTAATCAATAATATAATACGTTTATCAATAATAATATACTATGAAAGGAAATTCATTCCAACCGAGAGTTCCACGACACATACGCATGTTTTTATTTATTTAACCCTAATTATTTTTCTGAAATAAAAATAGCTTAAGTTACTCCTTATAAAATCAGCTATCTGCCAGTGAAATTCCTGTCAAAATTGGTGCAGCCAGTTTGCAGATTAGCCGAAACAGACAGGGAGACAGACGAACTGACAGACAGACAGTCAACATTTTAAAATAGTTTTTTTTTGTTATAGGTACCGTATATACTTTCATATGATTCAGATTCAAATTATTTATTTGCCACAATGTAGTACAGGTATAAGATGGTACATTACTAAGTGTTTCCGCTACATTATACCTTACGGCATGCAAAGTCATAAAAACTAAAAGATACAATTCTGATAGCAAATTAACCAGTAATATGTCATTCATATATAATGTAAATTCTCGTTTATGGTATCTTAAAGTATTTTTATACATATTTATCATTTAAAATTTTTTTAAACAATAGTAACATTTTTCTAATAATAATGCGGTCAGCTTAAATTTAAATATTCTTATAGAATGTTCTTTATAAGTGTCCGGAATTTTGTTGTATATTATAGGCCCCTTTGACATAATATTTTTTCTAATTAGTGCTGTTTTATAATTATCAGTATGTAATAAGTTTTTATACTGTGTTCTCATAGGACCCAAACGAGTTCTAATCTCGGCTTGTGACGGAAATAAATTTAAATTCGTTTTAACAAAAATTGCAACTTCCAAAATATACAAACACGGGAAGGTAAGTATTTTTAGTGACCACAGACTCACAGCTGTCTGTAGATGTTAGATTTGACATAGATCTTATGCAGCGTTTTTGGGCCTTGAATATCTCCTCCCTTTCACTACAATTGCCCCAAAATATTACTCCGAATCTTAAAATTGGTGCAACAAGTCCATGATAAGCTGTCAGGAGTGTACTATTGCTTACTTTCTGTAAAAGGTTTTATTTATTTGTATAGATGTGATAGTGTGAGACACATATTCATTGTAATTTTGGATATGATGTATTAATAATTATATATTAAGCGAGTAAAATATAGGAACAGAAACAATTATATTCAAATGTACTTTAATGGTTAATTATATTGTTACAACCACACAAACAAATATAAAAAAAAATAGAACGAACTCTTGATCTAACAGATAAGTTCATTGCAAGATCAACGAGTTCAATGACAAAGTATATAAATTTGGCCAATGATTTTTAACTGATTTTTGTGTAGTTTTTTATATCAAGCGCAGACTATGATTAATAATTATAATCATTATTGATTCCGAGAGTGCGTGAAGGAATGATATAATGTAAATGGGTGTTCCACTTACATTCAGCGCACACAAACTTATTTAATTACTACATTCATTAGTTTGTACAAGCATAAGTAAGCCATTACAAAACCCGCCCAATTAAGCGTCGCAGTTGCTCTTGATATCAATAAAAATTAAATGAAGATCTAGAACAATAAAGATTGAAATAGCAATGATAATAATAAATGACGTCTATCATTCCTCGAAATACAATTAGAATATAACACCAATAGAACTACCCAATCCGAACTGTGATCCAAAAATGTTAATAATGGCGTATAAAATATAGAAAAAATTGGCTGTATTTACTTTCTAAAAATTTCGACAATCTCATAAAATATAAAAATATTAAAATAATAATTTTATGAGTATCATACTAGTCACTTATGGACAAGTAGTAGTATTTTATTAGGGCTATATTAGCAGGCTTAAGTGTAGTCTTCGTTTTAAAAATCCGTGATAATACCTTGCATATAATTTTATTGTACCAATGTGTTCATATTGTATCAATGTGTACCATACCTTAGGTACTTACGTACCATAGACAGAATTTACTTATGCCAGTATATACTAAGTATATGTTACGTACAGTACGTATATTTTTTTAATATGACACTTAACCTGACATTTATAATTTCAAGTGCAAGAGTGACATATTTTGATATCATAAGTTTTTGTAAAATACAATCTAAATAAGCAAAAACTTATTTAAATATAAAATAAATAACCATGAAAATTCCATACGTTGTTTCCTCTAACACAATAAATGCTTATCGCACGTCAAATGTTATGCAAACTTCTACTGGAGAAGCTACACGCAAAATTATAGCAGAGGACTTTGAGTGGGATGATAATGTCACTCCTGCACCGCTTAGTTATTTTGCAGCTGTCACCCTCTCCAGGGTTTTTGATAAAATCAATCCTCTCAATAACATACTCAGAAAGGATGTAGACATCCTAATGGATTTATATCCGGCTGATATACCTCTAAAATTCAGCGTTCCTTCTATAAAGGTTTGTTATATGTATAGTCACATTTCACGTTTGCTTATATATTTATTACTTAGAGAAGCACGTATGAAACCTCTATGGAGAATTGTATTTATACTCGAGACCTCCAGTAATGACAGCATATGCTGTGAAGCCAACTCCTACACAAAATAATAAATTTCAATAATTGAAACGAGCACACAGCCCACCTGATGGTAAGGGGTTGGCGTGACCCATAAACATCTACATCTATCCTCCATTACGTATAAATATGCAGATGCGTTGTCACCCATGAGGACTAAGATGGAATGCTCCTTTCCAATAAAGGGTCTCCGGTTATTTACACTCACCATACGACGCACAGCAGCGTTAGGCTGCTATTTTACGCTGGTATTCTGTGGAGCGTGGTCCTTCCCTGGTCGAGCCGACCCATTTGTGCAACAACTATACTACTAATATAGCTGCAGCATGGCTCTACCACGTACAAATAATAATATATTACGTATCTGCCATAATATGGGCTCTTTAGGATTGGTAATAAAAGGTGTTTAGCTTCACGATTATTTTGTAATGTATGAAGATTACGTTGCCAATTTTAGTATTTGTTTTATGCCTTATACATAATTGCATTTTTCATTTATGTATATTGGCTCTCTATAAGGAGGATCTCTTACACATACATGGAGGGTGGTTGTCTTATGATGTGCCACACGGCACCGAATTCTGCTAGCTAATGTGTACTAAGTAATAAAGGAAAACATGTTCCGAAATGATTTCATCAAAAATAAATAATTTTAATCAAGGATATTGTATTTTAGGATGAACAGTACTGGAAGAGATCATTTTACACTAAATTTCCTTCTCGCATAGAGCTTGGGGTATCTTTCTGGAAAGGGAAGTTCCTGTCAACTTCTCTACAAGATTACTTGGAGAATGCAAATCCTGATCTTTTTATTGAAGATGAAGCTGTTGAGTTGGCCGCACTGGTAATTTTTTCTTCTATTCCAGCATAGAATATTTAAATCTTTATGATGGTCATAAAATGTTTTTCTTATTTATGGATAATTGAAATTTCAAATTCAAACACTTTGTACTGCTTACTTTTCACATTACTAAGTACCACAGAAAACTCTTGCATTTTATTTCTTTTTTATTCTATTTCATGCGACTCATTTTAAAGTGAAGTATAATTGTTTCATTTATTTATAATTTAATATTTAACATTCTTTCTAAATCTAAGTTCACATTAAAAAAAAAGTTTAAATCTATCTAATCTAATCTAATCTAAATGTTTAAATATATATATATATATATATATATATATATATATATATATATATATATATATATATATATATTTCTATAGTTATTTAATTGATAATTTCAGGTGAGCCCTTATATTTATGAATTAAGATTGAACCAATTGCGAATGGTACGTCAACCTACTCCAGCTGTACCTGATGATAATTCAATTGAAGATACTTGTGCCTTTAGTGTTCCTAAATTATACGATCACATTCCACTAGAACCAGTTTTAAAAAAGCTGTATAACCTCCAAGAAATATCTCTTGTTTTTGGTGTTTGTAACCTCGAAGAAGGCTATTTACCAAGATACTTTGAATTTTCTATTAATGATTGCGAATCTTTATGTAAAGGCCTAGCAGATTTGGTTAATTTAAAAATATTTCGTATCAATCGCAGTAATTTGGATTGTTCAAAAGTGAAGGTTATACTGCAGAACCTTGTCAAAAAAGAAACTATTGAGGAGTTGGATTTTAACCACTGTAAAATCGGTGATTATGGAATGAAAGCATTAGGTGGTTTTATATTTGTGCATAAAAACGTTAAAAGGGTCCGAATAGCAAATAATAGATTTAATGAAACTGGTGTTCAAGGTATTGCTTATGCTTTGCAAATGAACCCTGCAGCACCAATAGAACTATTAGGTAAGTAATTCATTATCAAGTTTTTTTTGTGATGACTTTTGACAAGTTAACTAATTATTGTATAATGACTGCTGAAAAACTTTAAGACGAATATATTTATAAAATTGGTTGAAAACCTTTGCTCCGGCTATTGTTATAATATATTTTTCATACATAGATTTCAGTTTAAATCCTATGTCACTTGAATGCGCTACAATTTTCGCCGCAGCATTTGTACGTTGCAAAGAAAAACCTCAAACATTGATTGTTAATTCTTGTGGATTTAAAGGAGCATCAGCCGAGAAGGTTAGAAATAAAATAAAGAATAATAAAAGTGTTCAAAATTTATAATAAAAGCAACATAATTAGCAATATGACGACAATTAGCAATAAATAATATAAATTATAAAATTATTGCCTATACGTAATGTTTAGCAGGAGATTCAATGTTTATGTAATTTAAACCCTGAGTTTTCGGAGTTAGTATAAAGACGAACGTCTATAGGTTGAAATGGAATTTGAAGGCAAAAATGAAAAGATTATCTAATATTTCAGTTACTTAATAAGTAGGTACACCGATTTCTTTTTTTAAATCATCTTAAATCTACAGAAATCATTTATAGGTACGCTTATTTTATTTTATAATTATTACGCGTATTATATTATAGCGAGCTTTTGGGTGTTTTTACACGTTGATTTATTATAAAATTAAAAAAAAAATATGAATTAACGGCCTTACTCATAATAATCGCTTTAATTTAAGAATCGCTTTAACGTTGCTCTCTTTTTTTTAAGAATTAGATACTAAATGACAATGGAAAGAGACAGGTATAGTGATAATTAATACTTAATATAAGAGATAATTTAGAAGACGCTACACGGCATTAAATATGGCTATTTCCACAGATGACTGGACTACTTAGTTTAAATAGAGGTTTGACCAGATTGGACATTGCAGCAAATGATTTATCAGGTGAAGCCGAGGAAACCTTGCTTCGCACCTTGGAAAAGAATAAAAAGATTTTAACCATTGACTTGAGGAGAACTCGTAAGTATTTGACACTTCCTGTTACGCACTAAATAGGATCCTTAAAAGAATATTTTGGTACTTCTTATTAGTTAAATAAAAATAAATTTTTCGTCAAAGACGAGTAAAACAGTTATAAAAGCTTAGTTTCATATATTTTTTCTGAAAGTCCTTTTTTCCAATGTTTTTTAATCCATCTTAATATGCTACGCCCGTACAGGGTTGTCACATGCTCTGTAGATATATTGTAACAACTTTATACTTTGTGACATGCAATAAATGAATTATGAATTATGAATTATGTCTACTCTACCTATTAAAATAATCATACTACCTATGATCGTAACCGTTGTCGAACACGCAAAAAAATTCTTTATAGTAATAACTGAGTAACAACGCGTCAGCTCACACTTTTTACGATAGTAATACAAAGTATAACTTTATTTACTACACAAAAAGATACATATTATTTTATTGAGATAATTCGAAAATGACGCGCGGCGTTGCGCTACGCCGCGCTGCGTCTCGACATGCCTGGCACCGTAGTGCGATGTATCGCAGCACAGCCGTGCTTCGTCGGTAGACGCAGCATGCAAAAGCGGTGCGCTGCCAGCGACTTCACGATGCGCCTCGCTACGTCGCTCGATGCGTTCGTATCGCGGCGGCGCGATGCATGGTGCGAGACCACTGGGCTCTTCATGCATCGTCTGGTCGCGTCACGTCTCTGTCTGAACTGACGCTAACTTCCGTCACCGGCCGGTCCTATAGTTAATTCAAACTATACCAAAATAATAACAATCTAGTTCTCTTACAGATAGTTTTCCACCATATGGGTATTTGAATATAAATGCTATCAGTTAGCAACATATCATTGATATGCAGGAGAAACAGCGTTGGTGATAGCACGCAGCCTTGTGGAACACCAGCGTTGATAGGCTTGAAATCAGAGCATGCACCGTCTACAACGACATTGATGCTCCGATCAGCAAGAAAACTGGTGATCCATTTGCACAATTTCTCGGCAAGCCCATAGGAAAGAAGCTTCGAAAGAAGCGCTTTGTGCCAGACCCGATCGAAGGCCTTCGCTATGTCCAAACTAACGGCCAATGCCTCCTCCTTGGACTCTACTGCCTCCGCCCATCTATGAATCAGATAGACTAGAAGATCACCAGCTGATCGACCTCGACGAAAACCGTACTGGCGGTCACTAATCAGCTGGTGATCCTCAAGGTAACTCATGAGCTGGCAGTTTATAATGGATTCCATTATTTTGGAGAACAAGGAGGTGATGGCAATAGGCCTGTAGTTGGACGGGTCTGAGCGGTCGCCTTTTTTAGGGATCGGGTGGACTAAAGCTGTCTTCCATGAATTCGGGACTACGCCTTGGGAGTAGGAGTACCGGAAAACACGCGTTAAAACCGGTGCCAACTCCGGAGCACACGTCTTCAGCATAATGGGAGGAACTCCATCGGGCCCACTCGACTTGCTGACGTCCAGGGAGAAGAGTGCTTTGCGAACCGAGCGCTGTGTAAACCGCACATCCGGCATGGAGCACTCACATCGCGGGATGGTCGGCGGTGTGTTCCCCCCGTCATCTAGAGTCGAGTTGGACGCAAAAAGAGAGCTCAACAGATCGGCTTTCTCCTTTGCGGCATGGGCCAGTGAGTCGTCCTCTCTGTGCAGAGATGGAAGAGATAGCTGACAGAAGTTCCCTTGGACAGCCTTGGCAAGAGACCAGAATGCACGGGTTCCCGAAGGAAGGCGAACTAGCTTCTCGCCAATTCTGCCGATGTGCTCAGACCTTGCCTTGGCAATGACGCTTTTGAAGGACCTGGAGGCGGAATTATACTTCTTTTTAAGTGCGCTGGTGTTTACATCCCGAGGCGTTGATGCGTCAGCCCAGGCCCGGTAGCACTCCTGGTTATAGCGTGATGCTATTTTACAGGAGCGACCAAACCATGGCTGGGATCTGCCTCCGATGGGCACCACAGAGGATGGAATAAAAAGTTCCATACTCTGAAGTACCACATCAGCAACTCAGCAATCCTAGGTGTAGTAGATTTTATAAAAGTAAAAAAAAAGTTATAATGTGCAATAAATGAAAAAGCAAACCACTGACGCATTGTTTTGTATATTAATATAATACTCTAGATACGAATAAACTTTTTTGAAATACCAAATTCTCAATTAAATTGCATTGTGTAACAAATAACTTTACCTCACTACCAACTAGCGACACTGTTGAGCAGAAAATTATATTAGCCTTCAATATCACTTATAAAATACATATTATAAAATTATAGCTGAATTATCCTTTAGCATTTGAAAATTTTCATCTATTTTGTTTAAGACATATCAGAAGGAACCCAAGCTAAAGTTAATGAATTACTCGAACGTAACAGAGGCCTAATAGGACAAGAAACAGAAGCCAGCGATGAAATACCACCTCTGTATCTTAATGAACCAGAGTACCTCATATGGGAGTATAACCCTAATAATCCCGACTACATACCTGGCCGGTATCCAGAAAGAGTACCAGAAGTTTAAAATGCAATGGTTGCGAATCAAATCCAACGATGAGTGTCATAACACTTTTCCAAAATTTTGTTATCATGTAATCAACTGCGTATTGTCATGAATAAAATTATTAAAATCTTATAATTTGGTTTCCTTCATCATAATATTATCATTAAACCTCACAAATTCACTGATGAACAAGGTCCACCCCTTTAGATTGCTATAAAACTATATACTTACTTGACACAAAATCACTTCAACTCATGTAAAACATACAAAGTTAATAATAAAAAAAAAATATAAATAATAACAAAAAACATATCGACGCCTTCGAGCAAAAATCTGGTAATTTGGAGTTTTTACTGTTATGTCGGATTTGTAATCTATAGGTAGAAATATAATTTGGTATATTTTTAGTAAAAACTTTTCTAGTTTTACTTAACGTGATATAATAAGTAACATTTTTATTGTATGGAAATTCACAAGCTTGATAATGAACTATAAGAAAAGTATCATAATACGTCAAAACAAAAACAGTTTTTTGTGTTTGATTTCATAAATTACCTACCATTACCGCAGTTGGCGTAAACAAACATTAGTAAAGCGCTTAGTAAATATGATTACAAAACTTTGAAGTTTTATTTTAAGTAAAATCGATCAATAATGATATAAATAATGAGATCGAATGTTTTTTTTCCTAAGAATAATAATTTATATTTCTTATAAAATATGTATTTTTTTTATAAGACATTTACGTATATTTTATTTAATAGTAGTCTACAAGTCTCTTCTTACATAGTAGAAATTTTATTTTTTCGATTTCGACATTAATGTTTTTATTTTGCTGTCCGGATGCTCGTAAGGGATATGTATCAAAATAAAAGTGAGAAATTTTAGAAATCTCTAGAAGTAGACTAGAAACGGAGAATCTACAGAAAACTCAGAATCTTCTATATAAAGAGGACACGAAAAGTTATAAAAGAGAAAACATTGAAAATAATGTAGAAAATGAAAAACAAAACGATGGGATTATGAAAGAAGTTCTTTTGCTAAAACACGAGATCAGTCAATCTATTTTTGTTTGATAAATACGTGGTAGAGCCAAGCTTTGGTTGTAGCACGACTGGGTAGGCTCGACCGAGGCAGGAACACGCTCTTACACAATACCAGCGTAAAATAGCAGCTTAATGCTGCTGTGTGTCGTTTGGTGAGTGTAGAGAACTGGAGACGAGCAGGAGAAACGAGGCATTCCATCTTAGTCCTCAGGGGTGGCAGCGCATTTACATTTTGATTCTTAATCGAGGATAGATGTCTATGGGCAACAGCATCCACTTACAATCAGGTGGACTGTATGCTCGTTTGTCACCCTTATTCAACATAAAATACATATTGGATTTTAAATTTAAAAGAAAACGTATTTATTTCAAAAATTATGTGCAAAACAAGTATCAGGTAATATAATAATTATTATAAATTTTAACAAAAAGTAAAAACCCACTTCATATTGCTAAAAAGAAGTTATTTATTTGCTACCATTTGTACCCCTGAAGTATAAGTTATTTAATAAAAAAAGAATCAACAAAATTCGTTCATAATCTGCGAAGATATGGCGTAACAAACATGCAAGAAAAACGTACACTAGAATTGGAACCACCTACTTTTTGAAGTCGGTTAAAGTAGCAAGCTCTTTAAATGTAAGTAAAAATCGAAGTTCCAGATATTTTATAAGACTAATTATATTTCAATAATTTGGACTTACCTAACTTTGTTGGTACATATTGCGATTATGATTATTATGTTGATATATAACTAAAACATTATTATTATTACCTTTAACCGACGAGCGTGTATGCGTAGGTATATGGATGTGGAGGAAGCGAGAGAGGTGTGTCAGGATCGTGCCAAATGGAAGTCCATAATCTCTGCCTACCCCTCTGGGTGACAGGCGTGAGTGTTTATGTATTATGTATGTATATAACTAAAACATTTCTTTTTGAAAATTTAAGTTTAAGAAAATCTGGAGAATATTTAGTTTTATTTTAAAAAGCTGAATGTAATAATTATTTTACGCAACACATAAGGCATTCAATTGTGTTTTCCTTTCTACTAAAAGTTTTATGTCATTGATTTAAAAATCAATGATATAAAACTTTACTGTTATATGCTAACAACTAAGTGGGCATAACAGTAGACAGCATCTTAAAAGATTCTGTCTACTGTTATGCTCACTTAGTTGATAATTTAAATTATTTATTGAAAACTTCAAGAAATTTAATATAATTACGTAAAACTAAGAAATAGTTTGATTTTAAATATATTGTTTTAAAGTTAAAGCTATTTAATATTATTTTTCAAAATATTATGACGCTATTGCATTAAATTACGCATTAGATAGTTTGTTTTTTATTTAATTTTGCTGAAACAATGACTTTTTTACAATTTTATGGAAGACTAGCTCGCGTGTTAGGGTTTTTATGTTTTTGCGCGGAACCATAATTATTTTTCTAAAATAAAAGTAGTCTAAGTTACTCCTTATGAAATCAGCTACCTGCCAGTGAAAGTCCCGTCAAAATCGGTCCAGCCGCTTTGGAGATTAGCCGGAACAAGCAGACAAACAGACAGACAAAAATTTTAATAATTGTGTTTTTGTTATAAGTACCGTATATACTTTCATATGCAATTAGTATAAAGCTGTAATTTTGACATTACAAACAGACACTTCAATTTTATTTATTTGTATAGATTATTTTTATTATATTAAAAATTATCATCTCAAATGACGTAATATTGTTAATATTACATCATTCTAGATAAGCACTATGAATTCATTTATTTACAAATTGTTTTGGTAAACGCATCTACAATAAACTAGTTTTAACCACCGTTTGAGTGTTAAATGAGACTATCTAGATAAGTATGTATTCAAATTTTATTAACTTTATTTGAAATTAAAACATAATATTATACATAATATGCATATAACAACAATTACGGCATTCTTACTTAATTATACAATAAGTTTTCGAATAGCCGAACGTTATTTCAAAGTATAAACATAATAATTGGTAATAATGCCGTGAAATAGTAAGTTGTGGCTTTTTTGTTTAGTAAAATAGGAAAAATATTCAACCAATAAATACGTAAAAAGAATAGATGTAATTTAATAAAATATATAACGAATGCCGTTCTTATTTATATACAAGTAGATAGATGTCATAACACCTTATAATGTGTAAAAATTTTTTTTAGCATGGCGTCACAATTTTTAGAAATTTAATATCCCGCGTTTTTTTTTTTTCAATTTTACTCAGTAGTATTTATGGAAAAGTCGCCCTTTTTAACAAGCAGGGCAAACCTATTATACTTTTTTAACTAAGATTTTATTATATTATTATTTTGAGAACACACTATGTTTTTTTTTGTTTGCAATGTTTTAGTATATCATTATAGGATTTTATTTTACATTATTTAATTTCGATTTCGAAGTTTAGATTGAAATACAGATTGAAATGATTCAACGCCAACATTGAAAAAATTCGTACCTACACTACAATAAAATTATTATAACTGTCGATAAAATGAACCGATTTTATTAAAACGGTAAATTTTACTCGAAGATGTGCTCTATGATTTTCTTCACGATTGACTCTTGAAAGAACATTCGTACTTTAAAGTTATGCGTTCATAAACAAACAGACAGACGGACATTTTTAAAAATGATAGAAATGTATTTTATAACTTACTTTAGTCTCTTTCAATCATTTTTGTCACAAAATTACACAATGTACAGACACCGGCAATTTTTATTGTACAATTAGTTTCGCTGGTTCGCAAAAGTTTTATGATTTTCATCCAAAATTCTAATCTTATTAGTATAAACATGGGTCTATTCTATCGTGAGGATGCAATGTTACAATTTGACGACTAATAACAATGAGTTTGGGATAATTAAGTGTGAGATCCCATTAGTATTGTTTCATTTTATACGTGGTAGAGCCATGCTGTAGCTATATTAGTAGTATAGTTGTAGCACGAATGGGTCGGCTCGACCGGGGTAGGACCACGCTCTCACAGAATATCAGCGTAAAATAGCTGCTTAACATTGCTGTGTTTCGTATGGTGAGTGTAGAGAATCGGAGACCCATTTTACTGGAAAAGAGACATTCCATTTTAGTCCTCAGGGGTGACAACGCAAGTAGTGTAGTTGTACCACTTCTAGACCACTTGAGTCAGAAGCGGTACAACGACGTTCGTCGACACACGATCCTAAAAAAAAAAGTTTTTGGCATGCTCTGATCACGAATCTGCGGTCCATTTTTGTGTAGGATGCACGGTTCCGGAGATGTGAAGATCAATTAGCTAATATCTAATTGATATCCGGTAAGGGCCTCCACCGTCATTAGCGTCCCATTGTTCCTATTTCTATTGTTCTATTGTTCATTAATCACCTTCATTGCAGCGTGTGCGTCGACTATATCAGTGCTATTGTATTATACTTCTTTGTTCCTAATTATACAACGCTAATCTGAATCATCAATAAAACACATTACATAATTTTGTTACAATTTTTATTTATAAAATACAAAATCTTATTACTTATTATCTATAAAATAGGAGCGAAACATCTCATCCACTAAAATATCGTTGTACAATGTGTTCCTTGTAAATATACTCATAAAACTATGTATTGAACATCCCTGAAACTTATATAGCAAATACATTAAGCAATATTCGCCACAAACTGAAGTCCACTCATTCTGAATCCTATCAACATTTCAGTTCCATCTTTTACAATTCCTTTTTAAAAACTCTAGATGATATCGTACAGGTGATCGTCCATATGAATCAAAATATTGACCGACGCCATTCGTATCGATATATAAAGCTACCCAATGTGACCCTGGTTTATCATCTGTATCCAAATTGCATATTATATACGTTGGTACGTGGGTATACATAGGCAGTCTATTAGCTGCATAAACATTATTTTCTAGACTGGGGTGAATCTTTTTCAGATGTTGTTGTACATCTAGTGTATCCATGATATTACTGCTATTAGTAGATTATTACAGTACCAATCTACTCAATGAATAACATAGGAATGGTCAATTATAGTGATTTCTAAATATTAAATTGCATTTTTGTGTTATACAAATCGTACTTGAGTCATTGATCAAATTTTTTTTGTTTTTGACCAAACAAAACACAATACGAAGAAATGTTGAGATAGGCAACGGAAATGTGAGATAAACTGGTTGACGCATAAAGTAATTATCAACTCATTACGGAAATACTTTAGATTAGAATTTTTACGTACTGGTGGTATATAAGACCAACAGACGCAGTCATCGAGTTAGTGTATAGTCGTTTGACTGCAGTGGATCTATCAATAGTACATTTGTGTTACTTCAATGCACCAAAGGCTATGGATGTAAGTGTTTATTCTATTGACTAAATTACTTTTTTTCTGTTATTTTCATGCCTGTGTATTATTTTATTTAAATATTGTGTATGTATATGTTTAAGCCGTGGTAACTCAGATGGTTAGCATAGGCTGTAACTTTAACTTTTTTAACTTTTATGATTAAGTGTTAACAAATTGATATTAACATGATAACTGTGTTGTTGCAGAAATCATTGAGCTTCGATGAAAATACCTATAAACAGTATTACTACTCGCCACTCTCCCCTCAAGAAGAGAGTGATGACCTCGTCATTAATAATAACACATGCGATGGTGGAAAAAGAAAATCGCAATCGATTGATCATTTTTTTGAAGCTGAATCAAAAATAAAAAAGAGGAAGCTGTTATCATCAACCGTAGCACGAGCCGCTAGAGATGGTGTATCATACATTTCTACTAATTCTGACGACGGAGACCAAGCGACGCATCTCATCAAAATTGAAATGTACGATATGAAGAAGCTATCCAAGATTCCAACTACTGATCATTGGACACATGCTTCCACGAGAATTAAATATTACGTAAAGACTAATAAGGATAGCATCTACGACAACACAAACGCCCTCGTATACAATATAACAAAGACAATAGCAGAAAGTGAAAAAGTTAAAAAATAATTTAAACTTGAGGTTGAGTTAATTGTAAAATTATGCTGTACTAATTGTGTTAGAAATAGTATACAGATAATTGTGTTTTATATAATTTTTGGAATATATATTAATTGTTTACACCAACACTTTCATTTTTTATTTCACCCCTTTGAACTTTAGACGTGTGTTATGTTTCACTTTATCCATCCGTTCACTGCTATTGTGGCAGGACCAAGTGGGTGTGGGAAGTCAAATTTTGTAACAAATTTCATAAAATCAGTTACAGAAATATGTAATTGTGATTTTAATCAGATCACATGGTGCTTTGATGAAATGCAACCATTATATAATTTACCAAATGTTAACTATCATCAAGGAATTCCAAATCTTAATATGTTTGATAGTGAAAACCCACATCTTGTTATTATTGATGATCTAATGAGAGAGTTCGATGGAAGAATTGTGGATATATTTACAAAAGGTAGTCATCACAGGAATCTTAGTGTATTTTATCTAACACAAAATTTATTTCATCAGGGTAAAGGACAAAGAGACATATCTTTAAACTCAAGTTATATAAAATATTTTAAAAACCCTCGAGATAAAACTCAAATAAGATATTTAGCAAGACAAGTATCACCAGATAACCCAAAATTCATTGAAGATGCCTACAGGGATGCAACTCTAGAGGCGCATGGATATTTAATGGTAGATTTAAAACAGAATACTAATGATTTTTGTCGTATCAAGACAAATGTCTTTCCATTTAATGGTTTCTGTACAGTCTACGTCCCCACAAAAGAGTTTAAATACACCAAGAATCAAACAATTGAAATCATTGCTAAATGATGCATCGTCGACTCACAACGTATAAACATTTGCTAACCGCTTTGCATACGCTTAAACCAAAATATCAAAGAGCATTACTTAAAACGTGTGATGAAGAAGAAATTAACTGTATTTGTGAGTGTATTCATAACGTTTTACAAGGAAAAGTACCTCTTAAAGATCAGGATAAACAAAAATTAAATAAACATAAAAACATACTCCGTAAACTAGTACGTAAGTGTAAACATAAACTAAGAAAAAATATAATTATACAAAAAGGAGGGGCTTTCTTACCAACAATATTAGGTGCAATATTGAGTGGATTAGTGAGTGGACTAGCCAGTTAACATGGAAAATGCAAAGAAAATGATACTTATCGAACCTGGATTGATTGAAAAATTAAAACAAGAAAATAAGGTTAATAGTAATTTATCTCGATTAGATATTGAAATGCAAAATATTATGAATAGTAAGACGGAAGACCGAAAGAAATGGATATTATATTTACAAACACTGCAAAGATACCTTCATTTTACCGAAAAGGATCGTCAACCACTCAAATTACCAATTTATTCTGATACATCTAATGAAGATTCAAATGAGTCAAAAATTGGTTTTAAAAATAAAGATAGAGATCTAAAAACTTCAGTTGATATTGAATCTTTGCTGGAGGAGAATCGATCCATTAAAAGTAAAGAAAATGATGAAAATCCACTTTACACACCAGCTCAAATACTCAGTTTAATACCAAAAACTCATCATAAAAAAGGGCAGTTATTATTAAACTTAGTTGAAACAAGTAAAAGTAAAATACATTGGGATAATGAAGGTACAGTCATAATTGATAGTGAAAAAATTCCTGGAAGTAATATTGTTGATTTAATAAATGATTCACTAAGACCCCTAAAAAGAAGTGATCCGGTAGGGTGGGTTAGATTTGCTGAAGCATTAAAAGATATTAAAGTACCACTTACTTATATTGGAAATCCAAGGAGATGTGAGTTTATTAACCAACTTCAAGCAAAAGATCTGAACAAACCCTCTGAGATTGAAGTTCTAGAGTTTTCTACACCGGGCAGTAGAGATAAAAAGTCTACAACTAAAATACGTAAAGGTCTTGAGTGGGAAAAATGGACCCCGTACTAGAAGAAATTAACAGGATTTATTATGATCCATCTAATCCCGCTGGTTTTGGTAGTATTGATAAATTATCAAAAGCCATGAAGGGTAAAATGAATAAAAAGCAAGTAAAGGAATGGTTAAAATCACAAGAAACATACACATTACATAAACCCATTCGAAAAAAATTTCCGCGTAATAGGTACATTCTATCAAATATTAATGAACTGTGGCAAGCTGATTTAAGTGATATGCGAACTTATTCTCAATATAATGATGGTTTCAAGTATATACTTTGTGTTATTGATGTATTTAGTAAATATGCTTTTGCAAGGCCAATGAAAAAGAAAAACTCAGAAACAACTAAAGAATGTTTTGAAAGTATATTTACTGAAAGTAATTTAACACCTACTCACATACAATCCGATAAAGGTACAGAATTTGTTTCAAAAGATATACAAAAATACTTTAAATCCAAAACGATTAATTACTATACCACTAACAATCCTGACATTAAGGCCAGTATTGTTGAACGATTTCAAAGAACATTAAAAATGAAAATGTGGCGTTATTTCACTCATAATAATACTTATAGATATATAGATGTTTTACAAGATTTAATATACTCTTATAATCACAGCTTTCACTCTAGTATTAAGATGTGCCCATGTGATGTAAATTCCAACAATATTATGACAGTTTGGACTAATCTTTATGATAGACGGTCAAAAAAACTTTCTTTAGAAAATCCTAAACCAAATTTCAATGTGGGTGATTATGTTCGAATAACTAAATATAAACATGTATTCCAAAAAGGATATGAATCAAATTGGAGTGATGAAATATTTATTATATCTTCAATAATTGATAGATCTCCATGGGTTGTTTATACAATAACAGATTTACAAAATGAACCAATAATTGGTACTTTTTATGAAAGAGAATTACAGAAAATCACTTACAACCCCACCTCACAACATAAAATAGATAAAATAATTGACACTCGTTATTCAGGTAACAGAAAAGAAGTATTAGTGAAGTGGAAAGGTTATCCAGATAAATTTAACAGTTGGATTTTAGCTTCTAGTTTAAAAGAAATATGAATAAAGAAAGTTTCTATTTAACTTTGCTCAGCAATAGTTCAATGGAATACTTTCCTGATAACAAGACCACAAATTTTTCAACGAAATTACCAAAAGCTATAAAATTAGAAGGTGAATGGTCGGTTGGAGTTGTCGAGTTTCAATATCCATGTACCATGTTTACTGTTCAAGACCATGAAAATGTTATATACATTACAAAATCTATGTTAATGCCTAATGAAGATAAACCATCCACAGTGTACTACAAAAAACATATTCCAGCTACCAACTATGATAACGTTGAGCATATTTTAAGAGTGTTAAATGGTATCGGAGAGAACTTGAAATTTCGCTATGATGAAATAACAAAATTTGTGTCTATTTCGGTATTGGATAAAAATATAACATCCGTAACATTATCACCCAAATTAAGTTTACAGCTAGGTTATGAACCAAATAAAAATCTCCTAGAGAGAAATTTTGGAAAGTGTCCTGCTAATTTACACTTAGGGTTACCATCTCAACTATTTCTATATTGCGACATTATCGATCCTCAGATTGTGGGTGATGTTATGACTCCTTTATTAAGAGTCATTTCATTAGATCCTACAAAATACATTTATGGTGCAAATAAAATGCACGTTTTCTCTCAACCTCACTACTTACCTGTTATGCGAAAAGAGTTCGATACGCTGGAAATAGTTATAAGATCGAGTACAGGACAAAAAATACCATTCCAGTTTGGAACCGTGTGTATTAAACTACATTTCCGAAAATTATAATAATGAATTCTCTTCGTGATCATCATAAATGTCCATATGAAAATTATTATACACATCAAGCTGGATCAGGAGTTGGAGTAATTTATAAGGGTTCACCATATCAACGCGGTCATGGTATTGGGAGCTTCTTAGGGGGGTTATTCAGATCAGTTTTACCTTTACTTTCAAGTGGTGCTCGAGTGATTGGTAAGGAGGCATTAAGCGCTGGAGTAGGACTTTTATCGGATATGGTTCAAGCTCGTCCTATGGAAGCCTCAATAAAAGATCGTCTAAAGCAAGTTAGTACGAATTTAAAACGAAAGGCTGATGAGAAAATTGATCAATTTAACATGACTGGATCTGGGTATAAAACTAAAAGAAAACGATTGACATCGTTCATTCCACCATTAACTGCTAAAGTGAAAGCTGCGAAAAAACTTTGTCTAAAACCAAAAAATATCAAAGATATATTTTCAAACTAAATATGTCTTTCCTTCATAATCATTCTTGCGAGTGCGTTAAGTCAGAATTGGATTTGTTTGCACTACCGTCTACACAAACTAGCATTGAAAATGGATTGTGGATTCATTATAAACCAATTTCATCTCTTGGTGATGATGGACCTATCGAGTTTCAAGTTCCTGGGACCGGCGATGACTACATAGATTTGTCTCATACATTACTCCACATAAAGGCAAAAGTATTAAATCAAGATTCAACTGACTTGGTATCTACTACAATAGTAGCACCTGTAAATAATTGGCTGCATTCACTTTTTAGTCAACTTGATGTTTATTTAAACCAAAAACTTGTATCACCACCTAATAATACCTATGCATATCGAGCATACATGGAAACCCTTTTAAACTATGCCCCTGCTGCTAAACAATCTCATCTTACTTGTAGTCTTTGGTATGAGGATACAGCAGGAAAAATGGATTCTACAGATGGTAAAAACATAGGATTTGTTAAAAGACAGGAATTGATTAGTGAAAGTAAGGAAATAGAAATGATTGGTCATCTTCACGGTGACATTTTTAACCAAGATAAATTTTTAATTAATGGTGTTGAAATGAGTGTTAAATTGGTTCGATCAAGAGAGAGTTTTAATTTAATTGTTGGGTCAAACGATGTAAAGTTTAAAGTTTGCATTACGGACGCAACTCTTATTGTTCGACGAGCACGAATTAATCCAAGTGTATTACTCGCACATCAAAAAGTTTTAGCTTCTACCACTGCTAAATATTATATTAGTCGAGCTGAAGTAAAAGTTTTAACAATTCCTTCGGGTGTTCAAGGAAAAACTCTTGATAATATATTTTTAGGACAGGTACCGAAAAGATGTATAATTGGATTTGTGAACAATTCTGCATTTAATGGTTCCCTTACTAAAAATCCATTTAACTTTGAAAACTATGGTATTAATTCTTTCAGCTTATATATTGATGGTCAACAAATACCTCCAAAAGCTTTGCAACCATCTTTTAATAATAGCATATTTACATCAGCATATCATACTCTATTCTCGGGAACTGGTATTCACTTTCTTAATGAAGGAAATGGAATCTCTTGTGAACAGTATGGCAAAGGTTACTGTCTATTAGCATTTGACTTAACTCCTGATTTATCAGCTAACTCATCAACTCATTGGAATCTCATAAAGCATGGTAGTGTAAGAATAGAAGTACGATTTGAATCCTCATTAATACAAACAATTAACTGTATAGTTTATGCTGAGTTTGATAATATTATTGAGATAGATAAAAACAGAAATGTTATTGTAGACTATAGTAGTTAAGGTTATAATATGTGTTGTGTGTTAGATTTTATGTGTTATGTGTAATGCATTTTGTGTGTATGTAACTATGTGAAACGTTATAAAATTAAATAAAACAAATTGTATGCAATATATTTTTTTTTATTTCTTTATAAATCTTCTATTTAATCTAATACAAAACACTGTTCGAGTTGAAATTTTACATAAGCACACTGACTAAACCACTGAACATGCTGCTGCCAAGGATCATCATCATCTTCCCAATCTTTTAAACCACCACCACAATGGAAACACTTGGTCCCGTCTGCATGACCAGTATAAAAGAAACCAGCTTCTGCAAGATCTTCAGGTTTCTGTCGCATAACGAGAGGCCAGTTTTCGAAACTAAGCAAACGGCTAGATTTTGAACTGAAGAATGGATATTCAGCTCTTGAGTACTGCATACTCTTCTCGTTTTCTTCTCCACTCAGTGTCGTAGTTTTGTTATTCAATGATGTGTTTTGTACACGTATGCCACACTCATCTCTTCCTTCCGCTCTTGTCTTCCTGTAATTGAAGTAAACAGAATCACATTCACTAATGATCAGCTAATGACTGTCATTGTTAAAAAAGTATTTTTTAACTTTTTCACTTTCTGCTATTGTCTTTGTTATATTGTATACGAGGGCGTTTGTGTTGTCGTAGATGCTATCCTTATTAGTCTTTACGTAATATTTAATTCTCGTGGAAGCATGTTTCCAATGATCAGTAGTTGGAATCTTGGATAGCTTCTTCATATCGTACATTTCAATTTTGATGAGATGCGTCGCTTGGTCTCCGTCGTCAGAATTAGTAGAAATGTATGATACACCATCTCTAGCGGCTCGTGCTACGGTTGATGATAACAGCTTCCTCTTTTTTATTTTTGATTCAGCTTCAAAAAAATGATCAATCGATTGCGATTTTCTTTTTCCACCATCGCATGTGTTATTATTAATGACGAGGTCATCACTCTCTTCTTGAGGGGAGAGTGGCGAGTAGTAATACTGTTTATAGGTATTTTCATCGAAGCTCAATGATTTCTGCAACAACACAGTTATCATGTTAATATCAATTTGTTAACACTTAATCATAAAAGTTAAAAAAGTTAAAGTTACAGCCTATGCTAACCACCTGAGTTACCACGGCTTAATCATATACATACACAATATTTAAATAAAATAATACACAGGCATGAAAATAACAGAAAAAAAGTAATTTAGTCAATAGAATAAATACTTACATCCATAGCCTTTGGTGCATTGAAGTAACACAAATGTACTATTGATAGATCCACTGCAGTCAAACGACTACACACTAACTCGATGACTGCGTCTGTTGGTCTTATATACCACCAGTACGTAAAAATTCTAATCTAAAGTATTTCCGTAATGAGTTGATAATTACTTTATGCGTCAACCAGTTTATCTCACATTTCCGTTGCCTATCTCAACATTTCTTCGTATTGTGTTTTGTTTGGACAAAAACAAAAAAAAATTTGATCAATGACTCAAGTACGATTTGTATAACACAAAAATGCAATTTAATATTTAGAAATCACTATAATTGACCATTCCTATGTTATTCATTGAGTAGATTGGTACTGTAATAATCTACTAATAGCAGTAATATCATGGATACACTAGATGTACAACAACATCTGAAAAAGATTCACCCCAGTCTAGAAAATAATGTTTATGCAGCTAATAGACTGCCTATGTATACCCACGTACCAACGTATATAATATGCAATTTGGATACAGATGATAAACCAGGGTCACATTGGGTAGCTTTATATATCGATACGAATGGCGTCGGTCAATATTTTGATTCATATGGACGATCACCTGTACGATATCATCTAGAGTTTTTAAAAAGGAATTGTAAAAGATGGAACTGAAATGTTGATAGGATTCAGAATGAGTGGACTTCAGTTTGTGGCGAATATTGCTTAATGTATTTGCTATATAAGTTTCAGGGATGTTCAATACATAGTTTTATGAGTATATTTACAAGTAACACATTGTACAACGATATTTTAGTGGATGAGATGTTTCGCTCCTATTTTATAGATAATAAGTAATAAGATTTTGTATTTTATAAATAAAAATTGTAACAAAATTATGTAATGTGTTTTATTGATGATTCAGATTAGCGTTGTATAATTAGGAACAAAGAAGTATAATACAATAGCACTGATATAGTCGACGCACACGCTGCAATGAAGGTGATTAATGAACAATAGAACAATAGAAATAGGAACAATGGGACGCTAATGACGGTGGAGGCCCTTACCGGATATCAATTAGATATTAGCTAATTGATCTTCACATCTCCGGAACCGTGCATCCTACACAAAAATGGACCGCAGATTCGTGATCAGAGCATGCCAAAAACTTTTTTTTTTTTAGGATCGTGTGTCGACGAACGTCGTTGTACCGCTTCTGACTCAGGTGGTCTAGAAGTGGTACAACTACACTACTAACCCATCTGCATTTTGATTCGCAAACGAGGATAGATGAATGTAGATATCTGTGGGCCACAGCATCCACTTACCATCAGTTGGACTGTGTGCTCGTTTGTCACCCTATCCTATAAAAAAAAGTATCAATCAAATTACTTGATTAACGTAACTACGTAACTTTAAATTGTAGTTTTGAATTGGCCCCTACCTACCGTCATGAACTAGCAATACAAATAGTACGGAACGATGTCCACTGCCGACCAGTCAGCACTGTTTGCAATTGTACATATACATATATTCCTTCTTATATGTTGATTTTATTCGAAAGTTTATGTGGTCTATCTTTTTTTCCCTTTTTTTTTAAAACGTAACCTCCACACTAGGATTTTCTCCTATATAGTGGAGGCAGTTAACAGATATAAATTGCATAAGGACAAAGATCAATACCCGCAACAATTACTTGTAGACCATACGAATACTAGTCCCGTTCGGGATTCGAAACATTGACCCTCAGGGCCACACTTATTGCTAAGTGACTGCGCCACGAAGTCTAACTGTTTTAAGTGTAAAAAAACTCACTTTTTTTTGTATAATTAATAGAATCAGGCGTTACTTTGCGGAAATCCATTATATAAAAGCTTTTAGAAAAATTTACTTCGCAAATATCCGCGTTATAAAATAAAATGATGTGTCTTACCTAGTATGAAGAGCACCTCCTAGAGTCTATATCACCTGAGTATGCCTCGTGTAGAGGCGAAACACGTGTCGTATTATCGTCAGTGGTGTGTCTTGCCTAGTGTAGTGGTGTTGGGAGTAGCGGTGATGGGATTGTGGTGACGGGGATAGTGCACGCAATTGAGGGAGGGCGGGAGGTGCTCTTCATACTAGGTAAGATACATCATTTTATTTTATAACGCGGATATTTGCGAAGTAAATTTTTCTAAAAGCTTTTATATTTTCTTTTTGTCAAATATACAGGCACTAATTTTGAAGAACTGATATTTAAAACGTATGAATATGGGATCAATACGGGAAAAACAATTTTAGTAAGTACAATTGTAAGTACAAGTCGTAAGTTTAAGCAATAAGTTTATTACTTAAGTATTGACTTTCAATAAAGTTTTAATAACATATTTTTTTAGTTTGTATCACAAATAAAATTCTGTATAACTGCCACTGGTTAAGTTAATTACTAACTTTTACCCCTGACTTCATATCCGTAGAACCCGCAGATATCTAATAGTGATCTTTGGGCAAGTAGTTCAGTTATCGAAAAACCACTTTAATCTCCGTTTTTTGCTATTATCCCGAAACCGAATCTAATTATTTCACTTAAAAAGTTTTTATCATCACTTGTTGTGAAATGGCGTTCAAGTAAAAAAAAAATGTTAAAAATCGATTTTGCATCAAAACTTTCAGATAGAACCTAAAACGTAACGTGAAACCTTTTATAATTATCTCTGATTAGAGATTCTATTGTTTATGAGATAATCATAAAAAAATATTTTGCTAGTTGTGCGATTTTGCAAAAAAAAAAACTAGCATGTTTTTTGGATGAATATGGTCTAGATCTAGGTCTTGGTCCAGGTCTATAGTACCTGGCGTTGCTATTTATCTGTTCGTGATGTTTCATCACAATCGGTTTAGCTAATCCGAAGATTAGTCCGAGCAAAACAAAAATTAAATAAAAAAATGTTATTATTATTGTTATTGTTTACTATTAATAGCATGCCAATAATTTTTTATATAGATTTTATATATATATATACATATATATACTTAGACAAATTCTAAAACTCATTCGTTTACAAAGGGCGACGTCCATTTATAAAACAAAAATGATTGATAGATAATAACACATATTCGAATTGGGGAGGTCGTGATCTGCCTGGGCATTTTATGACACGCCGCCATTCCATGATTTCGCCGATAATTTATAACTCTATTTTGATTATCATTGTCAAATATACGATTATATTAATAAACACTTATCTAGTATCAGCAAGAGCAGGTTAGGGGCGGCTAGGATAACCCTTGGGCCAGCCCAAAGCCGCATACATTTATATAATAGATAAGTTAAGCACTAGATGATGCGAGGAAAATTATAGACCAAATGATGAAATGCCGACGTATCATCAAACACCGAGGCAGATCATAATGTACCCAATTTAATAATTGGACTAGGACGCACTTTTTGCCTTCTGCATTTCACAAACCAGTGAGCGTTTGCAAGCAGACGATGTCGTTTGTATTAATGGCCGTGTTTAAGGGTCAGTTCACACTGAGACGTGACGCGACATGACGCGGCGCGCACTTTTTAAGATGGTGATACAAAACATAATTTAATTACTACACAAAGAGATACACATTTTATTGAGATAATTTGAAAATGTCCAGCGGCGTTGCACTACGTCTCGCTACATCTCGAGATGCCTCGCAAAAGCGGCGCTGCGCTATAAAAAGTCGCGTGATGCGGCGCCAGGCCCGAGGTACAGCCTGAAACCGTCGTGGCCACTTGTCTTGTCTCTACTATTTTCGA